AAAACGACCAAGAAAAATTACATTTTTAGTTGTGTAATTTTTGTCCGTATTTTAGCCGCGGCATAGCGGCTCATAGAATGGTTCAGAGTTCTTTTTCAAGTACAAACTTTTAACTCATAGATCCATCGCTTGGCCGATTTGAGATCTATTTACAGCCGCGGCCATTGAGGGTTCCCTCTTCTTTTCAATTGCTCTCAATTTTGGGCTCGTTAATAATAATTTCCCTCGGGAAAATTTTCGGTCAAGTTAACCCTCAAATTCCCAACTTGCCTTTATATTGTTCATTAACGATGGGGTCTACATATTGCATCGTATTGAGGAACTTTATGTCTGCCTGTTACAACTCTCGGTGTGAAAAACCGCCTCCCCTCCCCAAAAAAAGTGAAATTATCCATTTTGTGTATGAAATATATAGTCGGGCTCCAACAGTAACCAGTGAGACTTATTGCTATATTGGTGGTATGTTTTATAAATTATTTGTCTTACTGGTACATGTAACAATGCAATCTTGTATTTTGATGTATGAATAAATTAGAGAATGCCTGTAGAAAATTAGTAATTCTAGGATAAGCATACTTTCATACTTAAAAAAAAAAGAAGTTAAACCAGAGAACGTTTTTAAAAATTCGTAATTTATTATTTGTGAGTAATAGTCTTTTTAAGTAATTGCCCATGAACATTGCATATTAATAATAATAATTACAGTATCGGGCACTTGGAACATGTGCTAGGGCTAACATTACAACTATGTAACACGTGCTCCAGTGATATCGTTTCTTATCTGTCTGTCAGTTTTAGACACGAATTGTTCATTTAGAATATCAGCGTCTGAGCCAAGTTCAAGGTCGGTCTGGCACTGATTTGGAAAGTCTGGGGGATCGCACACACACACACACTAGCCTCTTCTAGATTTGTGTCAACCAAAACTGTGTATAGGAACTTTCACCACACAACAACAGATAAACTCAAGGAAATAACTGTGAGCATTTGTATCGCAAAACGTCCTGCCTTCAAAGGAATTTAACGTACAACTGTATGACAAAGTATGTCACTGTGTTTAATATCGTAAGACGTTTTAGAATAACGAATAAATAGACAGGCAAATGATGAGCGTTTCTTCTTTTACACCTTCGCTGTAAAATAGTGTCGTCGGTTTTTGGTATAACCATAACTTAATATTACACAGAAAGATACACTATTATCACGTAAGAAATATTGATTTTAATCAACATTGATTCTATTAAATAATACTTTGTTTTGGAATAAATTCATTATACTGCCTTTTTTTTTATCGCTGTATTGTAAATCCTATTTTAATTTGTCGTTATTGTTGGCAAAAAAGAAGAAAAAAAGAGCAGAATGATTTGTCTATCTTAAATATAATTTAGTTTTTAACGGGTTATTTAGCATGATACAATGTGTGTATTTCCAATTTTCAACTCGTTTGACTAATAATAAGCAGTAAGTGTACAAATGCAGTTTCTTTGTATCATGCCTTCTTACATATTTGTCTTGAGTGATTAAAGCTTTGAATAGCTATATGTGCACATGCCCTGAAACTGGAGTTCGACTTGATGTTTATATCCTTGTATTGTTTTTCTAGTTGACCGCCCAGAACCGTCGTCCTTGAGTGACCAACACACAGAGCAGATGGGAAGCGTAGTGGTATGTGCACGTGTTATTACAATAGCTGGAAGACATATCTTTATACTGCATGCTCGGTAATGTGAACGAGATACAGGTAAAGACCGAACCAGACTATCCCAGGGAGGAGAGAGAGAGATGAAGATTAAAACGGGACAGAAATGCAACTTGTATTAACGCAGAAGTTTCACAGTTTTTAGTCAAATGTAATCATCGTGAGTGCCAACATTTCAGATCTTGTCAGTTTTTATGAGTATTTGGATCACATCCACCATTGTACAGCAGTAAAAGTACAAATTAGTTACACATAAAGGCGGCAGCTACGGTAGTCATTACCAGCAATCTTTAATACGCCCGCGACTTTCTCGTTATCTTTTAATCAATCATATTGAAAATATAAGAATTTCGATACAAATTTAAAACAATATGAAGGTTAAGTAAATGAATGGAAGAAGCACAAGACTGTCCATTTGAAGAAACATATACCATATTGTAATTTTTCGTTAGTTCCGGTATATTATGATTAACGGTGGGTGACAAATTAATAAAAGGTGGTATCGTAACAGAAAACAGGAATTAAAAAAAAACTGGGAATCTTCAATAGTCGCGGCATTTGAAATTCTTTTAGGCAGAATTAAAGTAAATTAATCTATGAGACACTTTTTTCCTTTCTATTAGTCATATTTTTGTGCGCCAGCAATACCAAGCGTGGGGCGCGCGTTTCCCGATTCAATTTTATTACTCATCAGAATCTTTACCAGCCTAGCCTCAAATTGAAATTATTTTGGGCAGGATTAGAATAAATTAATCTATGAGACCTTGGGCATGGTCAGATACATCAATCGAAAGGATTTGACCTCCTTAGTCCAAAACTGTAATCAGATCTCAAATTGGTCAAGAGATGACGGAGCTATGAGCTAAAAGTTTGTCCTTAAAAAAAAAAAACTCGGAGACGCTATGCCGCGACTAAAAACTGGCAGAATAAGTTTGATTAGTTCTTTCAAGCTCCCTCCTTCAAGTGAATTTTAATATCCTTTATATACTCTTTTTGTTTTGTGATAAGCTAAAAACGAGATATAATTTTCATATACAAGTGTCTAAACGTATAAAAAGACGCTATCCGGATTCGTGTATCTAAAAGAGCGATCAATGAACATAATTTACATCATAAAAAATGAGCAGTTATTTACATATCACTAACAGATATATGCATAAATAATACATACACACAAAAAGTGATGAATATAGATTAGTTTTAATATCTGATAGCTTTGCTTGAACTTACTCTAAGTTAGTAAACTTCCAATAGAACAATCTACATTTTTAATCTTCGTTTGTTTGTTATGGATTTCGCGCAAGGCTACACGAGGGCTATCTGCGCTAGCCGTCCCTAATTTTGCAGTGTAAGACTAGAGGGAAGGCAGCTAGTCATCACCACCCACCGCCAACTCTTGGGCTACTCTTTTACCAACGAATAGTGAGATGGACCGTCACATAATGACGTCCCCACGGCATGTTTGGTGTGACGGGGATTCGAACCCGCAGATTGCGAGTCGAGCGCCCTAACCACCTGGCCATTTAATCTTAGTTTGTCACGAACCACTAACACAACAACATCCTAAAAGCTTTTATTTGTTCATGAAGACCACCATAAACTTTCACGTGTCAGAGCAGAAATCATCAGCGGGTAAACTAATATTCAAATTAGTAATCGTCATCTGTAACCATAGTTACATACAACAAACACCAAATGTAAGGAAGATCAGAGTTCGACAAAAGTAGATGTTTTCAAAAAAAAAAATGCTGGTATTTTAAATTGTTTGTTGAAACGGTACGTATTTTCCTATGGTTTTTAAAACACTTCAGGTTTTCTTTTTTGGTTACTGCCGCTTTGTTTTTTGTCAGTAGCTGTTAAATGGTTTCTTTCAAAACGAAGTAACTACATATTGTAATTTTTAATGCAATCGAGAATTTATCATAACATAAACGGTATGTGGCAGTAAAGAGAATCACCCAAGAATTTGGAGTCACAATAGTAGCACGAACTAAATTTCCAATATGTCTCACGGATTCTTTGATTTCGTGCAAACCAACTCGAAGGTTATCTGCGCTAGTCGTCCCCGATTTTAAAATGATAGGCTAGGCCGCTAGAGTGAAAGCAGCTAGTCAACACCAACCACCGGAAGCATTTTATCAAACTGAATAGTGTGGTTTCACTGTTACTCTAATAAGGCACCCACAACTTCAAAGTGTTAGTTTTTTTGGTAACTGAACCGCGTTCGGCCAAAGTGTTAAGAACTAGGAAATACAGTATTTTGGGTGAAGTATTAACTAATCCACTATTAAAAATTTTAAGTTATTCAACACTTTAAGAAATATTAAGTTGTCCAGGTGTCTGTTTTCTCATGCATTTAGAAATTGGCTGGGTTTTAGTGGTTTCCATAGTAATGTAATAACGCTATCCGGATTAACAAATCAGTTGATGCATACAAATTGAAGTTATACCTACTTTTGAAAGGCATAATTTGTGTAGGAACGCAGAATTGTTCTTTTTTTTTCCGTTGAAACACAAAAAGTTATTTTTTCATTTATTTAGCATAGTTTTCCTTATTTTCTAAAATATATGTGCTTTAAAGTAATCCACGTAATAGTAAAAATGTTCACTACGTTCTTTCGCCTGCCAATAGCATATGACATTCAGATAAATTGGTTAAACGTCCCCCCCCCCCGCACGGTCCCTGTTAGGCTTGGTTATTTTAACAATTGGATTTTTTCATTTTTCCTCTTTTCTCACTTTTTGTAAATTTTGACATATATTTTAACTTTATGGAGGTGTGGAAAGAGATCAAATATTTTTCGTAAGCTTTTATTATTATGTCTATATGAATTGCTATAAAACATGTTTATCTTGTACGTTGGTCGTTTAAATTTATTAATATTTGAAATTAAATTTCTCCCATACGAACTCTCTACAACATACACCATGAAGAGCACAAAGCCGCCAAAGAACACGTCGGTAACATTGCTGAGACGACAAGCCGCACAAAACCAGACTAGACGTCTGTGCGCACAATCCTCCAACACGTGCCAATAATCTTCCTGTGCAGAGCATTCCTTGAGCCAAGTGCGCGAGCACCCAATCAGCACTATCCCCTTCCTTTTCAATGACGCATAAAATGGCGTCTTTATGTCTGATAAAAGAATCATTTTAAAATGATAGAAACATAATTTCTACCTTTACTGTGTACTTGGACATATTAAATATTTAATCTTAAGTTCATAATAAACGAATCACTACTGGAAAGGACATGCTTCAATACTTGATATTATTAGACAATGAAATAATATACTTTTCCTTCACTTGAGACTGATTTTAATGGAACAATAACTTTAATACCAGATACATCACACTGATTTTCACTGAGCAAGTAGAAGATCACATTAGTTTAAAAGTGCTCACTCAACATGCTTAAAGAAATAACACAAGTATAGCGTTACAGATGTACATGTAAAGTTGCATCTCCTAATTATGGGAATACGAATTATTCCAGTAAATCGCATTCAGATGAGTTGTCAAGGTTTAGAAAAGGTTGTTTTACCTCAAAATATACAAGTGACTAACTTTTAACCCAAGTTCTCAGTTCCATATACACACACTCAATCAACATATTGTTAGGCTTCACGATTTGTTTTGTGACATCGTCAATCAAGGTATTTTTTGAATGTCTTATGTATGACTTATCTTCAAAGTTCAAATAAGATAATACAAACACACGAAACAAGAAATTAATTGTATAAGATAGCGTTTTGTAAGAAGAAAAAAAAACACCGAAATATCTCCCACCCACCCCGAAAAAGAAATTTAGTTCACTATTTTAGGATCTAGCGTCTCGAAGCGTAATTTTGTGACATAATGACCATGTTCCTTTTTGAAAAGTCGAGACGGAAAAATTGCAGTAAAACGCGAAAAAAAATGCGTTTCTAAGGAATACATGACTGTTTATTTCATTATTAATATAAAGTATGTATCAAAGAGTCTGCTTTTAAGTTTAACTGAGTTATAATGCATTTTAAAAAGTATTAAGTTGAAATTCATAAATAAAATTTAAATATACCTCTGTAAATTCAGTCTAATGCAAGTATCAAATAAGGTTCGCTTATCTTTGGACGTGTGTCTTTGGTAATAACATTATAGCATTTTATTAACTGCAATCACAGAATGAAATAACTCAGAAACTGGATCTTACATCCTAACCTCTACCAAATAATCTAAATATAATATTACAAGATTTTATTTTCAAATTCTACGCTGACTAACAATCAGCGCAAACTAGCAGTACTCGGTACACACCTAACTATTCTGTGTTTAACATCAGTCTTTGAAACTACTAATGTATTAGAAAGTTTGTAATAAATATAATTAAGGAGAAAAACAATCTTTATAAATTCAAAAGAAGTTTCTTAAGTTTAAATTAATGCAAATGAAACACTTACTGTTTTAGCATTTAAAATCTCAGTCACTTAAGTGCTTTAACTTTAAGCTGCCATAACATTAAGTAGGATACAGGAAAAAAAAAACAGGGGCAGGAACTAAATTTCCGCAAGTTATTATTAACTAGCCTTATATTTCACTCTATAACACCGATGCGTCGACTTCCTCCTGATATCTTGACGACAAATAGTCGGCAGAATCAGCGAGTTGATGTAAAATGGTTTGGAGACTCTGCAGGTGGTAGCGGTAGGCTGTTGCAAGGTGTGTCGTCTGCGAATCTCGAGTAGCAGAGTCAGGATCATTAGTGACACTGTCTATGTCGCTGTCTCCCTGGCTATCGGAGTCTGAAATAGAACTTCCACTGACAATTCCGGTGCTTTCTGCAGAGGAGTGCCGCGTATGCTTCGTGGTTTCTGTACTTGATCCTACCACCGACGGTGAGCTGGTACTGGTAGCACAAGTGCCATTATTGGCGGGTCCCCACAACAGTTCGTTTTTAATTTCGTTTAGGGTTAAGTAAAAGCTAAATAAATCAGAACTGGAAATAAAAGGAGGAGGTCGTTTTTCTATGTTACCTCCATCAGTCTCCATATCTCGCAACCTAGAAGGAACGAGAACTGTGGAGTCCATACTGATAACAGAGGTCACGAACCGATCCATTGCGCTGAGAATAGACTGCTGAGAACAGGTAAATGCGTCTTCGCCAGCTTGACGTCTTTTACGTCGAACATGCCTTCCTGAGTCATTATGTTGCAGAGTCATTGTTGGTCTAATATCACATATATTGTGTAACATATTTGCTGTTTTATATAGACTTGTGTAATATACGACAACGTGAACACCAATTCAACATATATGACTTTAAATATTCGCTTGAATTTTTTACACTGTTAAACACACACTATTACACTACGTGTTTCTGAATCTTAACAACACAATAACCCACATAAATATACTCGATCAGAGTGCATGGCGTTAGAACCGGTTCCCTCTTGTTACCATTACTAAGCGGTATTTCGTCACAATGTGGGATCTACCATTACGAAAAACGAGATGAAGAGAATACGACTAATATATTGATATTCGAAAATCAGAACTAAAAATTTACATTTACATGTATAATTACGTATGATACACGTATATATATGCTTTACTTTAATCACAACATTCATGAAATTGCTGCATTCATGGCCAAATTATTAGAAAAATCACTGTATCACCCCTATACTGGAAAAAGTGGAATCATCCACTTCCTTTTTACATCAGGTGATAACAGTATTAGTGTTCTGATTGGACAGAGTATCACTTTAGGCGTTGACAAAGTGAATCAGCAAAGCGTGTTCTTGTACAGCGGTGAGAATATTGAATACTGCTAACTGGTAGAAAAAATCAAAACAAGACCACAGACTTCTGAAAATCAACCTTTTATTTTCCACAACTTCTGCAGGAACGACCTACTACTCACACTGAGTCTAAGAAAGAAATGTTAAGTGAAGTAACTACAACCTTGTTATGGAATTGTGTTTTTTTTAATGAAGCAAAAAGGGAATCTTGAATATTTGTGTTGTCAAATAAGAAAAGGTGATGAAGAAGACTTAAGCCAGTTTCTCAAACGATCAAGACAGAAATACAAACGACAACTAATACTTAAATTTAGTTATTCGCATTTCCGTGCTTCATACTAAACATACCAAATCATAAAATAGATCTATATCAAAATTAGACTGGTATATTAAATTAGCGGTATTAATTATTGGGTTATTTATTTGTTTGGCTCTAAGACATAAAGCTCCATCGGAGCTATCTATGATTTGAAACCCGATTTCTAGCGTTATAAGGCCTCAGACTTACCGGGAGGTTTATTGGGTTAGGTTTTAGTTCTAATCACGTAGGTAGCTTGTTTCGGTCAGAAGTTAATGACAATCTGAATTATCAAAATTTACACTGGATTTGTTGGTTATCACGCATTACTAAGCGTTACTAATGTTATTTATGAATTTTAAGATATTTGTTTTAAGATGGTAAAATGCAATTCACATAGAAAAGCCTTTTACCAATGATGACCTACACAAAAACCTTAAAACATTCATGATCACTACAGTTAAGAAATGACATCCAAAATAAAAATTCATTACAGTTCTTAAAAAATATCTACGAAGTGACTAGTTCACATTTTCTAGTAATATAAGCAATACATAAAAAGGGAGAAAAGAAAATACCATAGAGAAGAAAAAGAAGGAGAAAAATGCACAAATAGGTATCATGTACAGCACCTTTAAATTATTAAAATAGAATAAAAAGAATATATATATATATATATGCTTTCGCAGGGTAGTTATGAAACCCGACCTCCCTTGCTCTCCAACGTGGCAGTCATTCAATGATTTCCTATAGTTGTTCATGGGACCTCTTTCAATAGAGGTTGACTGCCTGTATAAAGAGGATCCTCACTTTAACTGAATGGTGGCCTAGGGGCCGTGAAAGTTGGGGTACCTTTATCCACCAGGCAGATCCTCGCCTTTGCTGTTGTTGGTGCTGGAGCTATTAATGAGGAATTTACCGCTATGCCACTTTGCTCCAAGGGCTGACAGCCCATCCTTTGGAGGTTGGAGTTTCTGCCACTGAGGTAATAAATGCCAGTTGACCACTGATGGGCATCTCGGCCCTACATCTTCAGCATTCAGCCACCTCTCGAGGTGATTTAAATTCTGGGAAGGTCTTGGGCTTTGGGGTATTATAGCCCCACTGGAGATGGTAACACAGCTAGTGGCTTTGCCTCACTGTTGTAAAATACCCTCTAATGGGACATCACAGGAGAGGCTCCCAATGATGAGACGTTTGTCTCAACCCTACTTTACTGTGGGAGTTATTTCTATTAGTAACTGTGGCTGAGCCACTTGTAGGCTCAGCTTGATCGACCATGGGTTGGCGACAATTTCTCTATCCTGGTGGATGCTTCATGTAGTAAGGGCTTGGATTCTGTAGGTGAGTCAACATCTGACTAGAACTATCTAGCCTCAGAGAACTCCAGATCCAGCTTCACAGCTATCTCAGCGAGACCCTGTATGTTAGATGCATCAACCAGTAACTCATCTTAATCTATGGAATCTACAGGGCAGAAGATCAGGTCAGTTTAAAGCAACTTTGGATCACTGGAGAAGTCTAGCTACTCACTGAACAGAAAGTCTGGGACATACTGGTGATCGTCAAATTGGCTGGAGGTTTTTGCTACAAAGAATGGAGTCCTCCAGTGGATCAGCAGTAAGATTACAGATTACAATGCTAAAATCCGATGTTTGATTCTCTGCAGTGGACACAGCAGATAGCCCAATGTAGCTTTGCACTAAAATACACACACACACAAGGAATAAAGTTGAAAAGAAGGGTCACATAAATTCAAATTGGCAAAAAAGAAAGCCAGGTGTGCAAGTTGAAAAGGGTCGAACTAAAGCCATTACTCCCCTCTAAAAACTATATTTATAAAGAGTAGTATATGGATTGCTTTGATGTATCAATGGATTTCATATGTGTTCATGCTCTAATCACCTGTAAAACATATATCCGTAATGCCTGGACCTTTTCAGTACATCGGCATCTTGGATTACTGCTTGACTAATACATCATTAGCCATGCTACCCCCTGTTGTCATTACCATGACAATAGCAAACGCACCCTTTGGCTCAGGATCATTCCCTTCTCTACCAGTTGGTTGTCACAAACACTCTGCCGGTTCCAGTAGGTAAAGAATGGGTTCAAGACTGCAGAACTGGATCCTACATACCTGAGACGATTCAGATTAACGGACACCAACCTATGTTTCTGACAATTAGAATCCGCTAATGCTTACATCAGTTCTCCTTTATGACTTTTTTCCAAATAAAGTTCAGTACTTGTTAGATGTGGTTTTTCGAAGTTTCACCATGTGAATGTTACTTTTTGCCTTCCTTCTAGTACACTTACAGCTTGAATTTTCATACATCTTACACTGTCCTTTCTACTGCAACAATGTCAAGAAAATATTAATAAAATTACGTGTTTTAAAAATGTTTTAATTTACAAAAGTGAAAATATTCTACCACAACCAAATGAAACACTGAATTCACATAATTTATACAAGGCATCGGAACTGGGGATGCTGTAGCACCCCACTTTTACATATTTGATTTATATAGCAACTGTAAATAATATTAACCATGTCTAGCCAAGTACCTCCCCTTTCTACACAACTGGTCTGTGAACTTTATATACTACTGATAATTTCACCCGCTGATGAATATTTCACTTCGAACAAATTAAAATATCTTGCATTTTTTACCAAAAACGATAAGGTTTGTTTGTTTAAATTATTGATTTTTGTCCAAAAAAGTATAATTGTGTTTTCTATCAGATGTAGAGTGAGTTTCTCCGTTACTGTAGTCTTTCTATAAAAAAAATTTAGTACCTCTTAAATATTTCAATGTCAAAATTTAAACATTCTGTCACTAGTATTACCAGAAACAACAAGTACACTGCATCTTCAAGTAATACCCTACAGGCCAGTAACAATAGTTAACCTCATGTCACTAGGGGTTAACATCCAGATCGTAATCCTATATTCCCATTGAAATGTTGCTTAATAATTGTGATCTTTATGAAATTGATCCATTTGTGTTATATGATACTCAAGAATGACTTCATGTAAGACAATACACTCATATTTATTTATATATATATATGTATATTGCCATACACAAATATCAACACTACACATTATCACATGAACTTGTAGTTTAAAAAAGACTGCTTTAGACTCCCACAAACATTACTTCACTATGCTTCTCCATTTACCTTCCAGAAGTTATTTTGGAATAATATGTGCTGCCATCTGTGAACCATCAAGCTCAACACGTTTTTCTTTTCAGGCATCAAGAAATAAGTAACACAGGTCTGCAATGGTTTTATTGTCTTGAATTTTTAGATATTCCACGGTAATTCTGTACCTGAATCGGAAAATGATATATTTTTTTCTCCATCACGTATAGATTTTTCATAAAGCTTCATATGCACTTTTACATAAGTGAATCATTTTCATTGAAATTGGGTCACGTTTTGTTATGCTTAAAATGTTGACAACCACTGGCTATAGATTTCTCTAGACCAATCACAACGTAAGAGTCTTATCGATCGTTTTAGAACCCACGAGAAACACACCGTTAGTTTATAAATGGTTAATAGGCCGCAAGACGTATCATTTCTGGATTTGGTGAGAGATTTGGGCCTTCCAAAAGATTCTTCAGAGATTTCGGGGTCCAGACTTCGGTCTAAGAACTTATTTTCTCCAGGGGCATAATTTTACTGGTACAGAAATCGTAAGAAAGAGCTTATCCAATACTTTTCGCAAGAAGGTTCACTGGTTTATTGCAACAATGTTTCTAAATTAATAACAATGCTAGGAGGTGCAGTCTATGAACCAAGTAAGTGGCGATTGTTCATTGATTCATTCAAAAGAAGTCTAAAGGTGTTCTCCTTCGCAATGGTAACATATATGCATCTGTTCCTATTGTTCATTCGGTTCATTTCAAGGTATCGTACGAAAATCTCGAACTTGTATGTTGTTGGGTCAACAATCCAGTTATACAAAGTTCCATGTTTTTTGTGTGAATGGGACAGCAGAGCACGAAATCAGCACTGGATGAAGAAGCAATGGCCACGCAGAGTCAGCCTGATACCAGGATAAAAAACATTGAACGTGAAAGTTTGGTTGACACAAAGAAGTCCTATTACCTCCAGTTCACATAAAACTGGTCTTCATGAAGCAAATTGTAAAGGCCTTAGACAAAGATGGCGACTGTTTCAAGTATCTATTTTGGGCAAATTTCCAGCTCTTTCAGAAGTGAAACTTAAAGAAGGGATTTTTGTTGGGCCTCAGATTAGGAAATTGACTTTGGATGAATAGTTCGAAAGGACAATGAGGAAAGTTGAAAAAGTTGTTTGTTTGAAGTTAAGCACAA